TAGAGGAGAAACAATAATGTACAGTATGTGGAAAATAATGTGTTTTTTTTACTTTAAACCGCATAAACACATTTCATTACACCAAATACACAAAATAATGTTATTTTTAGCAGCATCATATGACCCCTTTAAAACACATCTCTTCCATCTTTATTTGATCCTCTTACCCTAGCACTTTCTATTCTAATTATATTCTTTAAAAAATATACTTGACCTCAAAGGCTTGCACTCTATTCATTTACTAACTGCTTGTTTTCTTTAAAAAAAATTCTTAAAAAAAAAAGATCTTGCTACATGACATGTACTACGTTAAGCTAACTGAGACTTGTTATAGCACTTGCGTATCATTGCTCTTTTGTTGATTTTGATTGCTTCTATTGTCCTCATTTGTAAGTCGCTTTGGATAAAAGCATCTGCTAAATGACTAAATGTAAATGTGCTCAGTGGTTGCTAGGGCGTTGCTATGTGGTTGCTAGGCAGTTCTGCTCTCCCTAGCAACTCTGGTGTCCTTGGGTTGGTTGCTCGGTCGTTGCTATGTTGTTGATAATGTGCTTTGATTGGTTGCTAAGGCGTTGCTATGTGGCTGCTAGAGTGTTGCTGAGTAGTTGCTAGGGTGTTCTTCGTAATTGCTAGGGAACTACTATGGTGTTCTGGATGGTTGCAATGTTGTTAATAGGCAGTTCCTAATTTGTTCTGGGTGGTTACTAGGATGTTGCTAGGCAGTTGTTTAGGCTGTACTCAGTAGTTGCTAGGGTGTTGCAATGTGTTTGCTAGCTAGTTCTAATGTTCATAGCAATGCTGGTGTCCCTGGGGTGGTGTCGGGGCATGGCTTTGTTGTTGCTAGGGTGTTCTATATGGTTGCTAGGATGTTTCTAGGGCTTTGCTATGTGGTTGCAAGTGTGTGCTCAGTAGTTTCTATGGAGTTGCTATGTTGTTGCTATGGTTGCAATGGCATTAATAGGCAGTTGTTAGTCTGTTCTGGGTGGTTGCTAGGTTGCTGCTATGTGGCAGACCTGGGTGGGTGCTAGGGCATTGCTATGTGGTTGCTAGCAAGTTCTGCTCTCACTAGCAACTCTGGTGTCCCTGGTGTGGTTGTTGTGCAGTTGCTACAGTGTTCACAGTAGTTCCTAGAGTCGCTATGTTGTTGCTAGGGTGTTCTGGATGGTTGCTAAGGTGTTGTTAGGTAGGTGAAAAAAGTTCTGTCTGGTTGCTTGGGTGTTATCAATAGTTGATTGGGCATTGCTATGTGGTTGCAAGAGTGTTCTGGATGGTTCCTAAGGTGTTGCTAGATAAGTGCCAGTTAGGTTTTGATGGTTGTTAGGCAGTTGCTGGACCGTTGCTATGTGGTTGCTAGGGTGTCGCTAGACAGGTGCTGGTGTGTTTGGGTTCAGCAGTAGTTCTGTTGGGTTTTGCTGAATAAAGACAGAGACAGAAGCAGGAAAATTGAGGTGGTACCATAACAGGAAAAGCATTGCTAGTTTCTGTGTAATTTATTTTGAAAATGATACAGAAATAAAGCTGGGTGGTGCCTGGACATCGGGAGACTGATAAAACAGTAATGGGGTGGAAAAAGAATGGTGTTTCGTGACAATGAGTGTTTGTAGTAATACTAAATGAGAGTGACTTGAGGGAAATGCAAGAAATACACAGCTCATAAAGGACGTGGAGTGGAGGTGGAGGCAGGGCTTCAATATCATCTCCTTTGCTCGCGTCTGCTGGCACTCACAGCGGCCGTCTCGTAGTGGACGTACACTGAGGAACTGAGTGTGTGTGTGTGTGTGTGTGTGTGTGTGTGTGTGTGTGTGTGTGTGATTGATTAAAGGTAAACACATTTATCAGTAAATCAATGTGTCATTCTGAATTCAATCCAGTAAATGAATCTCTGACTCAGCAGAACAATCCAGCTTTAGATTCACACTGAACTGTGTGTGTGTGTGTGTGTGTGTGTGTGAGAGAGAGAGAGAGAGAGAGAGAGAGAGAGAGAGAGATTCCTGTCAGAAGCTTAAAACACTAGGCACTTTATTAATTAAACAAGCAAAGAGCCAAACAAATTTTATGACTCAGTGTTTCAGATTCACACACACACACACACACACACATCGAGTGCTGGAGCTCAAACACTGAGACATCAGCAGTGTCAGGTGGAGTCAACACCAACAAGACAAAGGACCAAAACAGGTGGAGAATCACGTCACATCAGCTGCGGCTCCATACAGACAATGAGTCTCATTTACTAATGCTGCATACACATTCATTTATTACATTTTTACATATTACATTCTTAGCAAATATTTAATACAACAACTGCCTAGCAACCACACGGTAACACCCTAGCAACTACCCAAACACCCTAGCAAACACATAGCAATGCCCAAATAACCACATAGCAACACCTTAGCAACTGCCTAGAAACCACATAGCAACACCCTAGCAACCAAATTGATTCATTTTTGTACTGAACTTTAGTGTACAATTAAATACATTTCATCATCCACATAGTGAATAAGACTGTGGTTTTCTGCTTGTTTGACTGTAGTCTGCTACACTGATTTCTGGTTTACTACATTATTTCCTACTGTATTTTAGTGTGTGATTCCCTGAACAGGAACTACAGCAGAATCTCCATCTGTTTTCAGGGAAACAAAGACGCACTTGTGTCTGTAAAGCGCAGATGTTCCTCTGTGTGTGTGTGTGTGTGTGTGTGTTTAGAGCAATAACATTCTCTTACATGTCAGAACGACACACATTTAACACCTCAATACTAACAAAATCATATGTTCATATGATTAGATATTAATGTGGATGATGTGTGTTGTTTATGTATCATATCGTGTCATTCCGGAAAACCTACACAAACACACACACATTATTAAAGGTTCAGAAACACAGAAAATATGTGCACTGTCCCTTTAAAGGACTATTTACTAACCCACATGTCGATCTAAACTCATATGACACTTTAAATTAAGTCTGTTTCTCACACAAAGCATCATGTGAGTTCAGAAAATTAATTTCCACTTTCTTTTCTCTTAAAATCAGACACAATGGAAGTTTAATCCATAATTCATCAAAATACTCATTTCATTAGTACAGCCGCAAGACGTAATCAATAATGTGTTAACATGATTTCAGTGGGGGGAAAAAATCATTTACTAATGATTTGTGTAAAGTTACATGCAATTTTACTTCAGCATGACAATGTAACACCGTAAACTCTAAAACAAATGTAAAAATTCACATTTAAAAAGCTTTAAAAGCATTTAAAAATAAATTGTTTTACTAGAAGAATTCATGTAAGTACTTTTATAAAATTATAAGCTTCGTGTTTCTGATTTATAATCTTCAAAAAGTGTAAGTGCCTCACTGTAACCTGCATTTATAAACCCTAAAATGACTGTAATAATGATTTAAACAGTTTTACAACTCAAATAAAACAAGTTTTAGGTTAAGTATTAATACAAGTGCTTTTATAAAATTGTAAGCTTTGTATTTCTGCTTTTAAATACTCATAAGTTCAAGTGTCTCACTGTAACCTGCTTTTTACACCTAAAACAACTGTATAAATTATGATTTAAGGAGTTAATTTAATTTATAAAATTATAAGCTTCACATTTCTGATTCTAAATCCTCCAGAAGTGTAAAAGTATGTTTTTGCATGTTTAACATTTTTGTAATTTCATTTCATTTAATTTTTTATTTTAATTTTGTTTCTGTTTTTCAAGAAAAATTCATTATTCTCTGCGGAAATCGACGTGAGCTTAACTTGCATTAGAGCTGGAAAACGTCCTCATTGTAAAGGAAAAAAGCAAAAAAAAAGTATAATTCATAAAACCTTCTCCTTCTGCGTTTCATGGAAGAAATAAAGTCATACAGGTTTAGAATAACATGAGAATCAGTAATAGTGTTTGATCAGGTGCATACGGGCGTCTCACCTCTCGAAGCGCTCGCTCTGATTCACCCACATATTTACTCAGTAACTCTGGACCCTGTCGAGACACAATCAGCATCAGCAATACTTTAATCAATCACCAATGCATTACAGAGCTGTAAAGATGAAACTGAGCGTCTAAAGTGCACGTTAAACTACGGGACAGGACGCATTCGTCTGTGTTTGCATACTTGAGTCGAGTAAGTATGTTTCTGGCCTAAACAGAGCAGCAGATAAGAAGCGAGCGAGACAGATCTGAGCATGTGAGAATAAACGGCTCGTTAAACATCAGCAGCACTGAGAGATTAATGAGACGATAACCTGGACAGGAACCTGAGACAAATAGCTAACCGACACAAAGACTGAAGAGCAGAGCCGGATAAATACTCTCTCTGAAGTCAAGCTCACTTCCTCTCGTCCTACAATGCATTTCAACACGTCCTGACACACACACACACACACACACACACACACACACACACACACACGGGCTCTGGGTTTTCTCTCTCGGAGGGTGTGTTTTCCGTAACTTGCTTTGAGAGATTGATATCGGCTCTGCTGCAGAAATGTGAGCGTCTCTCAGACTAAACATCCTCCTGTGAGGGAATTCACTCCCAAACACGCCTGATCTGATCAAGATGACACACGTTCACACATACAGATCTCCAGCTACAGTTGATGTGTAGATTAATGAGTAGACTTCTATCATTTTCATATCAAAATAATTATGATGACTACAAACGAACACAATCTCTACAAGAGAATTTGCAGAAATAGAAAACAGAAATACTTTATCAATTAATTTTCAGTGGAGGACGTCCTACGGAAGCTCATATAAATAACTGAATAAAAAAAAAGGTAATTGCGACTTTGTTTCTCACAATTCTGAGTTTATATACGGAATTCGGTAAAAATAAAACGGATTTCATAGGGCCCTAGAATTGTGAGAATTTTTCATTCTGTGGTGAAAAAAAAACCACAATTGCAATATATAAACTCAATTCTGATTTTATATCGCAATTCTGAGTTTATATCTCGCAATATTCTGTTTATATCTCACAAATCTCAGTTTATATCTCGCAGTTCTGAGTTTATATCTCACAATTCGGAGTTTATATCTCACAATTCTGAGTTTATATCGCAATTCTGAGTTTATATTGCAATTCTGAGTTTCTCGCAATTCTGAGATTATATCGCAATTCTGAGTTTATATTGCAATTCTGAGTTTATATCGCAATTCTGAGTTTATATCGCAATTCTGATTTATATCGCAATTCTGAGTTTATATCTTACAATTCTGAGTTTATATCTCGCAATT